TGATTGCCTGGCCGCAGCAAGGGGAACCCGAAGAGGCAGATGGAACTGCTAGTTCAGTACAAATTAAACAGGACCCATGACAGAACCAGAAACAAGTAACAGTTGGGGTCCAAAGCAAGATAGGAGCTTCTGCCTTGAACAGCAGCAGAGCAGGAAGTAGGCAGGCCAGTCATCTGATCCGGAGACAAACAATCCCCTTTGTGCCCTGGCGGATACTGAAACAAAACCAGCTGCCTGAGAGCTCACAATCCAAGACACCAGTTCTGCTTCAAGAAACTGAGTGCCAGCTTGCCCAGGCCTCCTCCTCTGCTGCAGCCTGCTCTCCGACAGGCTGTGACCTCTGCAAGCCACCACTGAGACTGCCTTTTGGGTCTCAAAGCCATTCAGTCCCGGCAGCATGGGCTGTTTTTTCCCCCTGGGAACAGTAGAAGGGCAACATCTCTCCCATCCCAACACAGAGGAATCTACTCTCTGCAGCAGCAAATGGCTGAAGTTTGCCTAATGAGTGCACTGTGTTCTAAGAGAAAGTACCAGCGCAAGAGGGAGCAGAGGGAGGAAGACGTTGCAGGACTTTGAGGGCCCAGCTGAGGGCCGCTTCTAGCAAAGAAAGAAGGTTTAGGAACCCACAGGCAGGTTATTGTTCCCTACTAGAGGCTCAACATAGTCTCTGGCACAGGGGCTCCTGTACCTTCCCCGTACTGATACATACCAGGGGAGAGAAGGATGATTGCTGCTTCGTAAGAACAGCCATACTGGGTCGGACCAACCATCCATCTAGCCTAGTGTCCTGTCTGCCAACAGTGGCCAATACCAGATGCCCCAGAGGGAGGGAACACAACAGGTAATCCTCACCTGATCCCTCTCCTGTCACCTATTTCCAGACAAACAGAGGCTAGAGACACCATTCCTACCCATCCTGGCTAATAGCCATTGATGGACCTAACCTCCATGAAACTATTTAGCTCTTTTTTGAACTCTGTTAAAGTCCTAGTCTTCACAAAATCCTCTGACAAGGAGTTCCACAGGTTGACTGTGCACTGAGTGAAGAAAAACTTTTGTTTTAAACCTGCTGCCTATTAATTTCGTTTGGTGACCCCTAGTTCTTATATTGTGGGAATAAGTAAATCACTTTTCCTTATTCACTTTTACTACACCAGTCATGATTTTATAGACCTCTATCATATCCCCCTTACTCTTCTCTTTTCTAAGCTGAAAAGTCCCAGTTTTCTTAATCTCTCTTCATATGGGACTCGTTCTAAACCCCTAATCATTTTGTTGCCCTTTTTTGAACCTTTTCCAATGCCAATATCTCTTTTTTGAGATGAGGCGACTACATCTGTACCCAGTATTCAAGATGTGGGCGTACCATGGTTTTATATAGCGGTAATAAGGTGTTCTCTGTCTTATTCTCTATCCCATTTTTAATGATTCCTAACATTCTATTTGCTTTTTTGACTGCCGCTGCTCACTGCGTAGATGTTTTCAGAGAACTATCCACAATGACTCCAAGATCTCTCTCGAGTAGTTGTAGCTAAATTAGTCCCCATCATATTGTATGTATAGTTGAGATTTTTTCCAATATGCATTATTTACATTTATCAACATTAAATTTCATTTGCCATTTTGCTGCCCAATCACTTAGTTTGGTGAGATCTTTTTGAAGCTCTTCACAGTCTGCTTTGGTCTTAACTATCTTGAGCAGTTTGGTATCATCTGAAAATTTTGCCACCTCACTGTTTACCTCTTTCTCTAGATCATTTATAAATAAGTTGAATAGGGTTGGTCCCAGGACAGACTCTTGGAGGACCCCATTAGTTACCTCTCTCTACTCGGAAAACTTACCATTTATTCCTACCCTTTGTTTCCCGTCTTTTAACCAGTTATCAATCCACGAAAGAACCTGCCCTCTGATACCTTGACAATTTACTTTACTTCAGAGCCTTTGGTGAGGGACCTTGTTGAAGGCTTTCTGAAAGTCTAAGTACACAATATCCCTCTTGTCTGCATGTTCGTTGACCCCCTCAAAGAACTCTAGCAGATTAGAAAGGCATGATCTCCCCTTGCAGAAACCATGTTGACTTACCCTCAACAAAATATGTTCATCTATGTGTCTGACAATTTTATTCTTTACTACAGTTTCAACTAATTTGCCCAGTACTGATGTCAGACTTACTAGTCTGTAATTGCCAGGATCACCACTAAAGCCCTTTTTAAATATTGACATCACATTAGCAATCTTTCAGTCATTAGATACGGAAGCTGATTTAAAGGATAGGTTACAAGCCGGGTGAATGCCATCTGATCCCAGTGACTTGTTACTGTTAAGTTTATCAATTTGTTCCAAAACCTCCTCTAATGACACCTCACTCTGGGACAAATCTTCAGATTAGTCACCTAAAAAGCATGGCTCAAGCTTGGAAATCTCTCCAATATCCTCACCAGTGAAGACTGAAGCAAAGAATTCATTTAGCTTCTCCACTATGACTTTATCATCTTTGAGTGCTCCTTCAGCATCTTGATCATTCAAGGGTCCCACTGGTTGTTTAGCCAGCCTCCTGCTTCTCATGTACTTAAACATTTTGCTATTACTTTTTGAGGTTTCAGCTAGCCGCTCTTCAGATTTTTTGGCTTTTCTTATAGTTACTTAATTTGACAAAGCTTATGCTCCTTCTATTTTCCTCACTAAGATTTGGCTTCCACTTTTTAAAAGGTATCTTTTTCATCTGTCACTGCTTCTTTTACTTGGTTATTAAGCCACGGTGGCACTTTTTTGGTTCTCTTACTGTATTTTTTAATTTGGGGTATACATTTAAGTTGGGCCTCTATTAGGGTGTCTTTGAAAAGTTTCCATGCAGCTTGCAGAGATTTTACTTTTGTCACTGTGCCTTTTAATTTGTTTAACTAATTCCCTCATTTTTGTGTAGTTCCCTTCTGAAATTAAATGCCCCAGTGATGGGCTGCTAAAAGATGTTCTTCCCACCACAGGGAAGTTACATTTTGTTACATTATGGTCACTATTTCCAAGCGCTCCAGTTATATTTACCTCTTGGACCAGAACCTGCGCTCCACTTAGGACTAAATCAAGTCCTTCCCTTCTAGGAGCTGGGCAAACCCATCCATCTCCTATCTTTCATTCCTCGGAGTGCAATAGGCCAGACCAGGGGATGCATGAAGCCTTAGTGCTATTCTGCTGTTCTGCACTCCTCACCAGGTCTTCTGAACTTCGCATTCTACACTGAAATGCTTTTATGCACCTTCCTCTGCCTCATGCTGCTGCTGGTCTCTTGCCTGCCCCAAAGGCCATTGTGGGTGGATGAGGGCAGAGAATGGAGCCCCAAAAGCTGCTATCTGGAAGACACTAAAACTCTGGACAGCCACAGCAGGGTAGTCCTGGCTGATGGGAGGGGCAGGCTGGACTCCACACTCCACCCCCTGGTGTTCTACTCTAGCACCTGAGCTTGAAACCCAGGGCAGCTGCACCCACTGCTGATAATTCAGTGTCCTTCACAATCCTCATCAACTCCCAGGGAGAGGGAACTTGAGTGTGCTGTGGAGTTCTACGTCCATCTCAGCCCCGCTTCCCCTCCAAAAGAACCTGCCGCATCCACCAACTTGGCTCTGTTCATACATTGAAACCACGGGCTATCCATCATGCACCCTCCTCTGGTAACTGTCTGAAGGACAATAGGCACTGGACAGACCAATACCTTTCCCTGCACCACTCCCCATCACAACAGTCTCGCCCAACAAGACATCTAAGGATCCAAAAATAAACCAGGGGCTGGGGAAAGTTTCAGACAGATTGAACTTGAAACTCCAGATTTTGGTTCAATAACTGAACCAAAAAATAAATTATTTGCCCAGCTCTACAAAAACCTGTCTTCAATTAGCCAGCAGGGCACTGCAGGTTTGTAACCTATATTCTTCTTGCAATGGGAACTTGTCCATAAAACTCAGGTGCAACAGATACCAGCCTGTGTCATATGGAGATGCATCTCCACGTACAGAGAGAGCTTTCTATATTCTGAGTGCAGCGCTTCAGCCAGTGGGAAATGTCTCATCAATCAGTGCATACCTATGGCAAGCAGGGCTCTTAAGCCTGGGAGGCTGCCATGTGTACAGTGTTGGTTCAGCGCCATCTATCAGTGAAGGGGCTACAGCTAATAGGCTTTTAGAAGAGTAACATCCTGGACAATTCTCATGTCTCTGGGAAGCATTAATAAAGTAGCAGGGAACATTAGCCAGAGAGCTCTCAGAGTGATACAACGGACACTCATCTTAGGAGAGGATTCAGGGCGAGTACATGTGACTTGGCAGGATTCCATTGAAATGTTTAGTAACTGGTAAACCTTAATTTCACTGACATACAGAAACTGATGAAAAACATCCATTAATAACAGCTGGCAAACACTGTCTACCCCGCACCCAATGCCTGTAGAGATCCGGTGTCACTGGCCCTGAAGCTGTACTGTCACACCCTGCTCGCTCGCTCAGACAGAGAGCACAAGGGCCGCCCCTGGCTGGGAGCTGTTCAGAAGAGCGTTTTGGTTTTGAAACAACTTGCCGCTTATCTTCTTAATATAGACACACATGAAAGGTGGAGCGAGCACTGAAGTTTTGCCACAAAGGGAATCTAATGAGAGATGTAAAACCAGAGTATAGCACAGCAATGTGCTTGGGTCAGATAAACTATCTGTGGTGGCTTTTAAGTGACTGCAACCCCCCCTCACTGATATTGCTACATAAGACATGAACACCCGCTTGGGCACTTACATACTAGACTCAAGTTAGGAGAGGAAAAGCCCCATTTTTTCCAACTTTTCCCAGCAGCTGCTCTATCCCAGCAGCCTCCAGCAAGGCCAGGCTGCCACATTCCCTGGGGATCACAGAGAAGTGCTGTTGCCTCTACCCTGCAGAACACAAGATTCAGTTTGGAACAGGACGGATAAGTTAACAGGGTTCACCTTACCTGGTAAGTTGTAAAGCAGAATATCTGGGTCTCGGAGGTTACTTCAGGACATCAACTCACTCTGCATTCAGCCCCAGCCTCTCCCCCTCACGCAGCTGTACTTTGCACTGAGACTGAACTTTCCGTGTCTGCAGTGCCAGGGTATCTATGATCTCAAATCCCTTCAGGCTCAAAATCAGAGGGTTTTAGGTGGAATTCTGAAGCTCTCCTGCATAAAACTCACACCCCGATCCGTTCTGTTATTGTGGTGCTGCGACTCCTGACATGTTGACGCAGACAGGAGCCTGCTTAGCCCTCTCACACCAGCAAGTAGAGCCAGAAGGACTGGGGAAGAGCAGGGCTTCTCTTTCCCAGGTAGCTAATTTGTCTGCTGGGAACTCGACACTTTCTCCTTGCTGCAAATAGCTTTCCCAGTCACTAGCTTCAAACACTGTTTGCTTAGCTCACAGACAATCTTACTCCACTAATGGCTGAAGTCTGAGTGCTTACTTACTGATGTGGTTATTTAGTTCCCTCATGCCACAAGAGCCTTTTCATTATGTATGTTGTAGATTCTTTCTTAGAGAGAGCATCGGGACATGAATTTTTTAAGTGCTTCTTTGCCTTATAAACACACACATTTAATTGAAACGTCAGCTGTAAAAGCAATCTCGTTGCTTTATGCCTTTATTTTGCTCATGCAGATTAGATAGTGAAGCATGACTAGAGATTGTCATGGCTGTTTCACTTGCTGCATCAGGGTAAAACTGCTGCATTTAAGTCTGATCATGCTACAGTAAGACAGACATTAATTTCGTTATTTGGTCTGTGAAAATCTGACCACATTAGATCTGGAGGCAGACATTCTACTTCCTTTGCAAAACAGAACACAGGACGACTTACGGTAACGCCAAAAAGGTTTTAAATCAACAGTTTCATGGTGCTCCTTTCAAATCATAATATGTGAACTGTACATAAAAATGTGTTTATAAACATTTCCATTTTACACTTGATTCTGCTGGAAATTATATACAGGGACTGGCGTTCCAGCTTCACTCATTTGTAAGGAGATTGGAGAACTTATTCAGGAAATAAAAACAAGATTTCCCAGGTCCTGCACCTTCACTTCTGCTTGACATGGCTGCTCACAGACGCAGAAGCACATTAAGCTCTCAGAGAAAAGGGGTACTGAGGGTGCCACCAATCCAAGAGGCGCACACTGTGCACAGGGTCCAGGACAACTTGGACTCCTTGGTCAAGTCGGGGCTTCTTGCCATTCTGAATTGGAGAATCCTGGAACACCAGCCTCACTCTATGATGTCTCATGTCAGTGCTCACGTTTATTGTGAACTGTGGGGAAGAAAACGAGCAATCGCCTCAATATGCATCCAGGTACTGCTTCCAGAAAATGCCCAATTTTCCTTCAAATACCACCTACTATTGTAAATAGGGATGTAAAATTCTGTTTACTCGGGTAGCTGGTTAAACACCAGGTTTAACGGTAAACCAATAAAGTGGGATCCCAGGTGGGGGACCACTCCAGCCTGACTGGGGTCAGTCAGCTTTGCAGGCTCCATGCAGGGCTGCTACCTCCTGCACCGGCCCATAGTGTGGTGGGCCCAGTGGGGCTGGAGTAGCCCTCTGCAGGCCACGGGTGCCAGTTAACTGTTACCCGGTAAGGGCGATGTTTACTAGGTAACAGGCTACCTGTTCCTATCCCTAATTGTGAATGCTGATCCTCAATTCTTACTGGACAAATATTTTCCAGTGTCTATTTATGCATTTCAACTTTGTATTTTCAAATACTTCTTTTTTAATTCAGTAAAAAGCTTATAAAGCAGAACAGACTCCAAAATGTATGCTTTTCATGGAAAAATACCAGTAAGATATCAGAATTTTAAAGATCAACCAACTCTTTTCCATAGCTAAAATCAGCATTATCTAGAGCTCAGATCTTCTGGAAATATAAAGGCAAGAGGGACACTTTTCTCCAATTCCACCCTGGGGGTTGAGAACCATAAGTCACCTAGGGTATTTTAGGTGCTGCAGTCTAGGACTCCTAGGCACTATGACGACACAAAACCTCATCGTCACTCTCTTCAGGAATGGAGCACATTTCGCTGAACAGAGCTGTCAACTGGTCCCTTCTGGCTGGGCCTCAGGGTCACTGCCATGAGTCTCCACCAACCTCGAGAGAATTTAGAGACTTACAGTAACTGAACTGAAGAGACCCTTGAGTGATGGCCCCAATGCACCAAGGTAATGCATATTAATTAGTCTGCTGATGCAGCAAGATTTGCAGACAAGCAGTAATGACCGGACCATTTTCTAAGCACATTTCTATGGGGCTTAGGTGCAGTGTTAGCTAGCAGATTTCTCAACACTTACCAAAGTAAATATCATACCCATGACTACTGGCAAGAAGATGAAATTGAGGGTGGTGATCTGCAGCAGACAGCAGTCCTGATCAGGGTTTGTGAGAACATCCTCATACTGAACAGGCGGCTGAAGTTCTCTGCAACATTTACTCTTCAATCGGGGAGGCTTGACAGAAAGAGACAGACAGGTTCTGTCAAGTAAACTATAGAAAAGGACCATCCTGGTTTAGCTGCGGATTCCTGCCTGACATCCAACTGTGAGGGCAAAAAGGTTACATGTCCAATGAAAACCCTGGGGTGGAGAGTTTGGAAGACTCTGTTTGAAGACAGATTTCAGATGTCCTAACAAGGTGCTTGGGATTATCGGTTGATCCGTCTGTTTAAAGAGGGTTTTCACAAGGATTACTGTCACTTCCTGATAAAAGGGTTGGTTTTGTTAGCTTCAGAACAGCTTTCCATGTGAAGAGACAAACGTCATCAAGGCAAAACATTTCAAATGCAGGTCCTTACATTTAGACACTAAATCAATTTGGCTGGCTTTTTAGAGGAGCTGAATTTCCACAAACCCCCGAAGGTACTTGGGTGACTGCCTTCTCCCAGCCCAAGGTGCAGAATGTCTACGAGGTGCCTAAATACGCATGTAAGAATCTTACCCTTAGACACTTGAAACTGAAAATGTTGGCTTGTTTTGAAGCAGTAGGAATTGTCTCCTGAACAACAGCTCCACAAGTGCCTTATCTGACCACCATTGCATTTGGTAGCATTTTTTACCATGAGATGGGATTTCCATTGATTTCCTGCACCCGGCAATAGTAACTCCAGAAGAAACATCATTACTGCTTCAAAATCCTGCTGCCTGGCCCTGACATTCAGTGGCAAGTGGTTAGCTTTCATACCTGCTTTTTGAACTTGAAGTTAAATTCCCACATTGGTTCTCGTCTGTTCCCTTCAATCTTTCTGCACCAGAAAAGCAAACACTGATATAAGAAAAAAAAAATACAGTAGGTTATGAGACTGTTAGAGCAAATTATTCCTTTGTTAGTGAATTTCAACACAGGCATAGAGAGCTCAAACTACATGGGAGCAGCTGAAGAGGTGGCAGCAGTCGGATCCCATTAGTTACATTAATGCAAACCTGAGACTGCCCACTGTCTCGCTAATATCCTGGGGCCAACCCAGCTATAACTACACTGTATATGTTAATGCATATGTGGCAGTTTATATTTGCCAGCCAGAAGGTGACAATCTCGCTTCCCCCGAGGCGACACAGCTCTTGGGCTCTGGCCAGATAAGCAGCGTGCCCTCTGTTCCTCTTCTGTATGGAATGGGAGATTGGAGCACAAAATGGACTTTGCTCCACAGCACACAACATGGAGCGGTCAAATGAAATCGACAACTTCTCAGTCAGTTTATGCATTCAGCTGACACTCCGAAGAAAGCAGGAGTGGAAGAGCAAGCAGCAGATCAGGAGAAGGGGGAGGAGAAAACAAAGAGAGCAGAGACACAAATGTTAAAAGCAACTGGACAGAGCTGACAAAGCTGGGAAAGGAGTGACGGAGAACTTCAGTACTGACATGTGCGTCTGTGGCACCCAGAGGTCATACTGCTGTCCATTAGGCCAACGTGCTAGTATTTCTAAAGCACAAAGCAAAGTTTTGGCAGCACAGTTCAACTGATGGCCCACACCACTGCTTCTTTCTAAAGGAGGATGAATTCATGGATACAATGCCTCACAGCCTCTATGCTAGAGACGACCAAAGCACAGCTCTCTGGGTCAACATCTCACGTATTCTATAGTGTAACTAGGGATGTGAATGCCCCCATGGGCAGGGGGCTGCTCCAGCCCCATAGGGGGCCCACTGTGGACAGAACAGCTCTCTGTCCACAGGGAGCCCGGGCCCCGACACGGTTGGGGCTGCTCCAGCGGGGGCTGAGAGTTGGAAGCTGGCGGCAGTGGCAGCCCCAGTGCAGGGCTGGAGGCGAGAGACCTGCCCCATTTAGTTACCCTAACATTTAAGCTGTTAACTGATTAACCACGATTTTACATCCCTAGGTGTAACCTGTGACTACCGCACCTTTCTACAGCTTTATAACCTGTGGGAGTCTATGTCCCAGCATGCAATGCTCCAGGAAATAGAGTCTTGGCAGAACTACTCTATTAAAGTGAGGGGAGGTTAAATAGAGCCCAACATCTATAAAGTGTCAACTACTGGAAGCTGCAGTCATCTGACAGCCATGCAGTAGCCAGTAGAAAGGAAGTGTCCACATCACAAAAGATACCTTCCATCACAACTGGCCTTCAGCAGGCCTGTTAACAGCTTCAGCACCAAGGGAAAGAATGGCATGATCCCCTCACCCACAGATGGTGTCTCTGGACAAGGGTTGAGGCCTTTCCTGGGGCAGTGTATGGGCTAGTTTCCGTCACAGAGGCTCTCAAATCAGAGATGCCAGACCCGCACTAATTGCTTTCATGGATTTAAAAAAAACAAAACAAAACAAAAACAAAAACCCCACGGGCTGCTTCAATCTGCACCATTTTAATGCAATTTAATTCTAGCTGGGTGAGGACCCACATGACCACTCTTGGTACCAAGGCTGGGTCATGCCTACTAAGCTGCTGTGCAGTGGTGCAACCTTTCCTTTCGCTTCTGACTCATATTTGCAGGCAGGAGTCCTGGAAGGATCTCTGCCGTGGGGAATCCCCTAGAGGTGAAGCACGTTGCCAAAGGGCAGGTAAGCTCAGGATCATGGGCCGAATGGTCTCCCCAAGCAGGAAGCAATGGCAATAAATAGTTCTAAGATTAAAATCCCAACTGCTCCCTGCATCGTGTTGAGTAGGGGGCATGCAGCAGATACTGCTGGGCTTAACTCCACTGGCAGCTGAGTTTGTAGTTCACCTTTGGAGAACATCTGCATGGCAGCTGGAAATGTAATTCTCAGGGTAGGAAGAGCTACATGCGCTCGCTCAAATCAAGCTAGCATGCTTCTGACAGGGTTACACTTGGGCAGTTAGCCCTGCCCTCATGTGTCATGATACAGCCACTTGGCTATTTTTTAGCATGCTAGTTTGATCAGAGACAATACATGTACGTCTAGAGACCCAGAGCCAGCACATACCCTCACGGACACATCTTCATCTATCTGCCCCTGTGACCATGGCAAGTAGTTAAGCACAAAACGGAAAGTACCTCCTAAGGGGCAGAGGATGTCATCCACGTGTCAGCCGTCCTGCCCTTCAGACGTGCATCGTGTGGCCTGCTGCTCCACCAAAAAAAGGGGGGTCTCTTTAAAGGGCAAACACTTCTGCTGACACCACAATGGCTCCAGTTTGCTTCATCTATCTGCCCCTGTGACCATGGCAAGTAGTTAAGCACAAAACGGAAAGTACCTCCTAAGGGGCAGAGGATGTCATCCACGTGTCAGCCGTCCTGCCCTTCAGACGTGCATCGTGTGGCCTGCTGCTCCACCAAAAAAAGGGGGGTCTCTTTAAAGGGCAAACACTTCTGCTGACACCACAATGGCTCCAGTGTCCCACACAAGCTACGCTAGGGGAAGAAAAAAGGAAATTAAAGAGGAAAAGCTGGATTCAGTATCATAGGGGTCTGTGGTGCCCTTTGCTACATGCAGTTTACACGAGCATCTCCCATCCATGTTAACAGACCCCTAAGGGTCTAACCAAAACCCATGAAAGCAAGGAATCAGAGAAACGTAAGGTCCCACTCAATGTACATCACTGTGCCTAAGCAATGCAGCCCATGGAACCAAAAGGACAGTCTGGAGTCCTGACACATGGAAGCACAGTGGGACCAGACGTATAAGGGCACTTGTGCGCTTTGATGGGTTGAAGTCAGACCTCTACTGTTACGCTAACAAAGGCTTAGCGTCATTTAATTTCCTTTTTTAAGTGAACAGAAGTAAAAAAGTATTACGTGCCAGGTGTTTTTACAAAACTAGGAGTATGGTAGAAGCACCAGCAGTGGGCACCAAAGCCGTTATGATGTGAACGAATGCCAGACACTGACCCTTACAATGTGTGTATACGTGTGTGGGGGGGAGGGGGGGAAGGGGATGTCTACTATAAGACCAAAAGATGGACGGATGGAGTTACAAATCGTTAAGAGTTACAGGGACTCAGAACATAACAGGAGGATAGTGGAACTGCAGTTTTGCCCTTCCTTTTAAGAAAGGCACTGCATGAATGTGATGTTCAGGCAAAGAACTAATAGTTCAGGGAGCAAACAGATGCAGAGGACTTGTGAATATAAGTGGCGAACACATCTTAACCCTGTCCTGCAGTATATCCTGCCTGTTGCTACTGACTGTTCTCAGTCTGATCTCAGGGCAACTTGTCACATTAGCAGTGTCTTCATGTGGGGAGGGACAGAAGCAGCAGGGATGTCACAGCAAAGAAATAGATTTGTCTTTTGCATAGAATATGTGTCAAACCACTCCCTTTAAGGCTGAAAACCAAGCTGGCTTGCCATGTGTCAGCCAATAGCAAGTTAAAGCCAGGCTAGAAACAGAACAAGGGGTTAATGATAGACAGTGACTAGCGTAAGCCAGAGACACAAATGCTCCAAGCAAGGACTGCAGTGTGGTTTTGTCCAAGGACATAGCACAGCTTCCCTTCCCAACTGCACAGCCACATTCCAAAGCAGGCACTTGCTTCTCGCATTAGAGCCCCGCCGCACGACGCTACCCAAGACGATGGTCTGCAGGAAGACAGGGTGAAAAGACTCTCTTTTTAGAGGCTGTCAGTAGCACTTGTGAAGCTCTCCCATTCTCCCGAAGAAACGTTCCAAAATAATATAGCTACAAGAGTGCAAGTAGTAGACAAAATGCCTAATCTAGCTCAAACTTCCTTTGGAGCCTGGGTTGTGCAGAGGAGGGCAGGGGACAACTGTGGATTGTATCACTGACAGGGCTTCTGTCAATGTAAAATGACATTTTCCTAATTTGTATTACTGGAGATCTTAGGAGACCTAGTAACAGGCCAAGACCCCATTGTGCTAGAAGCTGCACAAACACTGGAACTGGTAAAACTTCAGAAGTTCAGACTCTCCCTAGCTTCCTATAAATATCACTGACCCAGTGCATGTATTTCACTAGGGTCCTGACTCAGATTTCTTTCTCTGAAAGGGAATAACAAAAAGCAGAGAGTGTACCAGCTGAACTCAATTAACTTTGCTTCCCCAAACACTGCCACTTACTTTGGAATTCTTTAAAGTGCTAGGGGTAGTCTCTGGAATGGCTGGATTCTTGGAGACGCGAGAAGCAAAAGGTTCATACATGTGGTATAATGAACGGATGACACATGCACGAAGGCAGCGCAACCTTTCCATCGATTCCGGCCGTAAACGGAGAGGCAGGTATGCATCAAGAGTGTAGTGCCTAAAGAAAACAGGGACAAATCCAATACCCCATGAAAAACTGTAACTCTGCTGGATTTCAGGTACATCTCAGGGAGCTACAACATAAGTTTTAAAGATTACTGATCAAATAGGTCCGCTCTGCTTTTACACCACATTAACCACTGACATCACTTGGCTGTCACATTACCCCTCTGCATACAGCTGGGGTCCAGGGCACCTTCAGAACCTGTAAGATCACCTGCCAGTCTCAAGAGGTCTTCACACCACCATGTGTCAAGACTGCAGACTGGGACTTACCAAAGTCTCTAGGATCTTTAGTGTGTGGCACAGAGTACAAAGAGCACAGAAAATAGGCAAGAGTACAAACAGGGAAAGAATACTGATTTTGTCTGATATATAATAGAATAAATGTCAATTGTCACCAGTGAAAAAGGAGTCAAGGATGTGAACAAAGGAAAAATTTAAACTTCTGCTTAATGAGCGGACATCCACGTCGTCTCCATCAATTTCCTCCTCCTCTTCCTAACCCACACTTCTTCTACCTTCCTGGTTGCCACTGAAAAGCACACATTCAGAAATAATGCCTTTATTTTCATTAAGTCCTACCCCTCGATAATTTATAGGCAGATCACTACAACTCTACTGCCCAAGATCATCCTTCAAAAAATTAACCATTTCAAATGAGGCAAATTTCCTGTGGACATTTTGAGAGAGCTTTGCAGGGAAGATGCAATCTTATGGGTACAACATTCCTCAGACTGGGCCTTGACATTTAGAGCTCACTCCATTTTTAAATCTTGGATTGGTCATATGGGAAGATCACAAAATAGTGGCTCTTTACAGACAAACAAACAGACTAGCGAGACAGAAGATTTCTTAAGAAATATTTAAGTTCTCTATTCAGCAATATTCATTAGAACTAGTCCCGGATAGGAGACAGAATGCTAATCACTGTCAGTTATAGAATGTCAAAAATTTCAGTGGTCAAACTGAAGTAAACATGCTACAATCACGTTAAAAAAGAACTATGTCCCAACATTTAGCATGACTGACTCACTCAGGAGACAGAACTCTACCCACAGTTCTGGAGCAAATGCTGGTCAGACCCCACTGCAGACACCTAGAACTACTAAAGAGCCTATTTACAAACTCTCTGTGGTCGCACCTTCTGTAGAGTCTGGTCCAAAAGGCAGCAGTGCAAGTGACAGTCCAGGCTTTCTTGCAAATCAGAGAAAATTTCACTATATCTTCTGGACGTATGTAGGAGGCTAGCAACAGCCAGATGTCAATGGGATAATCCCCTCCAACAGCCTCATCAGGGTTTTCTAAGTGTAACAAACACACATTAGTGTAATATAGCTCCTGCATTATAAACTTTAAGGAAAGCAAATTAGACTGATCCAGTCCTCTGTTTGGTACTATTGTGACAAGTGCTCCATGACCTGCCAAGTGCACTTGTTAGCAAGCAGCAAGCGCGCACACACGCATGCAGGCACACAGTAAACGAGGTGGCTGAAGGAGGTGGCTGCGGGACAGCACATATGCCACATTAGCCAGACAGTGTCTGCAGGGAGCTCGGACCCACCGCGGACAGGGGCTGCTTTAAATCATAATTTAATGCAATGCACACCCCATTAAGCTAGGCCTGTCTGGAGCCCAAAGATTTCAAACCTAACCTGCGGCTAATCCTCAAGGAGGGACAGATATTGGGGAGGAACGATAGTGTTGAGATTAAAACTCACGTCTGAACGTCCAGGTGATCTTGGCTCACCCACTGACTTATGCCAGTTTGGGCTTCAGCACATTTGTGTGTCCTTATGACGATAGAGGAGCATTGTAAAACACACTGCTTTTTACACCTTATATGTTCAGGTCCTCTGTAAGCTCAAATACTGAGTGCCTCGCAATCTTTAAGCTATTTATCCTCACTCACCTCAAACATAGGGAGGTGCTACTATTCCCAATGTTAAGGATATAAAAGTAATACGTTTTTTTGGTTGAAAAGTTGCAGCCACACTTTGTTAAAATGACTATCATCTATCAGCACCATTTACCAAGGCAACCTGACTGCAGGGCAGCAGCACAGAAGACACACCGGTTGTCCTGCTTGGTTGCCAAAGGCAAGCATGAGGAGTGGCTGGGCCAGATTTGAGTGGTGGTGTGACCTGGAGCATGGGTAGCAATGCCTGTCAAATGTATAGCTACTAGAAGAAAATGTAAAAGTTGTGGTTTCTGCAACAGACTACAGCACAGGATTTCTTACAACCTTACCCATTGTACAGACATTGGGCTGAGGAAGAGTCTCTAAAAAGTGACTTGCCCAACGTCACACAGAAAGCCTGAGGCAGAGCAAAAACTGGATCCTGGTTTCCCAAGTCGTGAGGAAAAACTCTCACCATTGGACCACTCCTCTTCTCCTGGAAGCTCCCTAGGCTTCAATTATTATCTGTAAAATGGGGAATTGTTCTTATCTCCCCAGTGTTGTGAAGCTAAATCCATTATTATTTGTAAAACGCTTTCAGGTTCTCAGAGGAAAAGGGTCACAAGTCAATTTCATATGTACAAGATCACAATTTTCCTCTCACATACATGCAATTAAATTCTGTTTGTGTTTCAGCTGGGATATTACTCATTGTACTGTGATGTTACACAACACCTTTATCTACTGCATTGCAGCTATGTAGCTTACTTATCCTGTGATGCAACTTATACCCTAAGTTGCACAGAATAGACTTGCTGAATCACCGCTTTACTCAGAAATTACTGTTTAAAAAAAAAAAATTACAGGAGCCCTTTGCTACATATTTGCTCAGCTGACCCAAAATAGGCACCTATTTTTACAAACGTGCCAGCCCCACAAACACAGCTTAAGAACTGAGAGTCAATCCGGATCTTCCAAGCTCATGCATTGGTGCCAGCAATAAGGATTATGTAGAGCAAATGCTGCTCTCAATTACAGATGTACAATTGGGTGTCTTCCATGGGGAAGCACAGAAGTAATTAAAGTCGTACATTGAAAACAATGAGATTGGACATGACAATCAAAGTTAGTTAACAGCTATGCTGAAGATGAACAAAAAACCTGAGCTATGTTAATTCTGTATGGCTAACAGCAACTCAATTTTAACTTTAGCAGCCAATAAACAGCACTAATTCCAATACACGTGGGCCTCACCTCTACTGGAAAGTAGTGTCAGTTTACAGTAACTTTTCTGGTTATAACTGCACTTTCAGATTCTAGTATCTTAGTTAATATCTGATTAATCTCACCACAATATAGAATATCAATAACTGCTTAAACGGCTAAATGTGTAACTCAACCGCAAAAGTTGCAGAGTAAATGTTCCTAATGGGGTCCCTATCTTTTGTGTTTCTTGAATGCTTTAATGTTAGCAACAGGACAAGTGATACCAGACAGGGAAGAAATTGGATTTGTGCTTCATGATGTAAAAGTGCCCAATTCTTCCACCAAGGGAAATGTAGTTATATTGTGTTTTTAATATTAGAAGTACACAGTCTGGGCTTCTTGTTTTGCTGGAATCTCTCTCAGAGCTAGAAGAATATCCCAAGAGATATTAGAAGGAATCTATGCAAGAGACAAGGGCAGCAATTTTTATCCTGACTGTTTAAGTATGTTTTTGCTAACAGACTATTTAATTCACATTCCTAATAACCAAGTGAGAGATGTATTTTTCACACAGAGCTTAACACTCTATGCCTTGAACTATCAGAGCTCTCACTGCTGTTCTCTAGCCTCAGAGGGGTAGCTGACTAAGTCTGTAACAGGAAAACAAACAATAAATAGTCTAGAGGCACCTTAAAAACTAACAAAACATGTAGATGGTATGAGCTTTCGTGGGCACAACCCACTTCTTTAGATGACAGGAGTGTTGGAAGTCCAGATCCAAGAATAAATAAGGGGGGGGGGGGGAATAGAGGGGAGGAAGAAAAAAAAAGAGACAGTGAGTAGATAGTCTAGTACATGGGTTCCCAAACAGAGGGCAGAGGGAGGGCATACCCCCCTGGGGTGTCATGAAGACATTCCAGGGGGGCGCAAGGCAACCCAACCCCCCCCAAAGTTTTGCTGCTATTTTTGTTTTTCAGCCCCGGTCAGTTCCTTTTTTTCTCTCCCCCCCCCCCCAACAAGTTTTGCTGCTATTGAGGGGGGAGGGGCCCGGAGGGTTTCTCAAAAATCAAAGAGGGGGCGTGATGCCGAAAACTTTGGGAACCATTGGTCTAGTAGCACCTTAAAAGACTAAATAGTTACAAGAGGCTGATAAGAACCATTAGTTTGCACTTGGAAAGGAAGATGACCAACACCAAATTCTATGCAGAATCTGGGAAAAATCAATCAATCAAGGAATCTTCCCACAAGAACAGGTAATACCTATTTTATACAAACTATTCAACAATCGCCTTCCTTTATTTTTCTTCTTTTTAAAAAAAAAGGGAAAGTGCTCGCCTTAGACACTGAAGAAAGAAATGAGGCCCAATGTTTTTCTCTCTGAACATCTCCTTTAATGATTCACAACTGTAGGATTTTATATCGTGTTTCAGGAAAGTTTGTATCTGCAGCACATAGGTGGCTGAACCAGTTAAGCATGATTTAATTAACTACAGCAATCTGCCTTCAACAGGAAAGGGGAGATGACCATTAACTCAGGATTGGGGAACTAAATCTGCCACTAGCAAAGCACGAGCATTGGCATTCCTTTGGTTAAGCTTTTATGCGCGCACACACAAATACACACACTTCACTGAACTCCTGGAAGAAATATACCGCTGATCGGTAAGTATCAATTACTAGCTTGGCAAATGCAGATGATGATCCCAGCAAGGACCCCGCAGAGCTTCCTGGATGAATGATGGAGTCATACCTTTGTGCCTCTTGCTTTTCTTTTTTCTAGAGGTGGTTCTTTCATTGATGTTTTCCTTAGCATCCATTTCATCACTACTGTCACAGGATTCCCCAGTACATGAGAGTACTTCCTCAGAAGGAACACGAGAGGCTTCCAAACCACAGAGAGATTTTACTAGAACCAGAACAAACAGATTACACTCATCCCAAGTACAATACAAGAAGCAGCATGAGCTGGTTAGGATCTGTGAGGGGGCTGGCTGCCATTTTTTGAAACATCCACACGAGCAATCATTGCTAATACCCAGTAAAAACATTTTCTAACATTTTAAGAGTGGATGCTTACTAATGGTTCCAAGGTGATAGGGAGTTCTGAATGAAGCTCCCCACACCTCTGACAGAACTAACTGATCTTCTGCACATGTCAGACTTCCTTGCCCTGAGGAGCTCTTCCTGCCACTTTCAGCTTTGCAAGGATCATGCATCATCTCTACAAGGCCTGAATTCATGACCACACACTGGACGTACTGCCACTAAGGGAAGACAAAGGAGGGTGCATTGCTAAAGATGAAGAAGAGATTGTGATGGCATAAACTGTATTAGAGCTCTGGTATTTATCAGCAGTTTAATCCCACCAGGTTTCTTTCATTTAAGTACAGAAATCCAATTTATCACAGGAGTTTGAGAAGGGAAAGATCTAGGTGGTCACATCTATTCCATTTTCAGAAGACAAATGCAAGATGGTCCCCTACAGAGTATTCATTATTGCTTTCCCCACAACTACCAGGTCAGGCATCTTACTGTTGGGAGCTTTCTTTTTTAAATTTTATCTTATTAATTCTAGCTATACCACCAAATATCACACCACACAAATCCTCTCCTTCCTTTGTGTAACACCTTTCCAAGGATACACTGGGGAAAAGGGGGGGAGGGAGGAGGTCCAAAGAAGGTATGCAAATTGCACTCGCATTTGCATATCTTCTTCCGATTCTTTTTCTGGAAAAGGATTTTCCAATATTTGGCCCGTCTATACTGGGCCAAATGTCGGAAAAAAACCCTTTCAGAAGGCCAGATACACCTCGTTTTATGAGGAATAAGGGGGCTTCTGAAAAAGGGTTTTTTCTGACATTTGGCCCCCATGTAGATGGGCCAAATATCGGAAAAATCCTCTTTTGGAAAAAGAATTAGAAGAAGATATGCAAATGCGAGTGCAATTTACATATCTTCTCTGAACACCCCGCCCCCTCCACAGTGTTGCCATACCCCAATAGTTTAAGAAAATATCTCCAAGGTTCCTAATCTTAGTTCAATTTTCCACCAATGTGTCAATATCCTTCAAGTTCTGAGGTGTTCAGAACTGAATGCCACACTCCAGATGCTAAACCCTTGAATGAAATATCAGTTTGTTTGTTTGTTTGAACTGAAAACATTCCAAACACCAAATTCATGAGAGATAATTGAGTCTCTAGAACAGGGGTGGGCAAAAGGGTGGATCCGACCTGCAGAGGCCCTGGTGCTCCCCCACCCCCAGGCCAATTAGGACCTGGGGCCAGGGGAGCATGTGACGCCTCCTCCGGCCCTGCCAGGAGCATGTAGTGCTTTGAAGCACCATGAGCTGCTTGCAAGACAGGGGCACAGCGGAGGAAGCTTTGTGCACTCCCTCACCCCCAGGTCCTAACTGGCCTAGGGGCAGAGGATCGTGGGAAGTCTCCTCCCACGCCAGGGGTCTGGGCACCTCGGGGGAACATGTGGGGGGGGAGGGGCAAAGGCACTCCCTCACCCCCAGACCAGTCATTGTCTGGGGGTGGGGAACAAGAAAGCATCTTAGCCCTGCCCCTTCCTATGCAGCCCGGTGCCACTTCAAAAATTCTGGAGGTATAAGTTGTTCTCAAACTGGAAATAATTGTGGGTGAGAACGAAGTTCTCTATCTGCTTCCCAAGATCCATAAACCTGGACACCCAAGACGCCCCATCATCTCTGGTATTGGCACACTCACTACTGGACTATCCAGCTATGTAGACTTTCTCCTCAAACCCTTCGCAACCAACACCCCCAGCTATCTCCGAGACACTACTGACTTCCTAAGGAAACTACAAAACATCGATAACCTCCCCAATAACACCATCCTTGCCACCATGGATGTAGAAGCACTATACACCAACATCCCACATGAAGACAGATTACAAGCTATTAGAAACACTATCCCAGAGGACACCACTGCCAACCTGGTAGCAGACCTATGTAACTTCGTTCTCACCCACAATTATTTCCAGTTTGAGAACAACTTATACCTCCAGATCAGCGGCACAGCCATGGGTACACGCATGGCCCCACAGTATGCTAATATCTTTATGGCTGACCTAGAACAACGTTTCCTCAACTCCCGTCCCCTTTTATCCCTTCTCTACTTACGCTACATCGATGACATCTTTATGATCTGGACGCATGGCCAAGAAACACTGGAGACATTCCACAGAGATTTCAACAACCTACACCCCACCATTAACCTCAGCCTGCACTTCCTGGACACCACCGTACAAATCAACAATGGAAAATTAGACACCACTCTCTACAGAAAACCCACTGACTCATACAGTTACCTACATGCATCCAGCTCCCATCCAGAACACACCACACGATCCATCGTCTATAGCCAAGCCCTTCGATACAACCGCATCTGCTCTAACCCCACTGACAGAGACCAGAAGCTTCAGGATCTCTACCAAGCATTTATAAATCTCAACTACCCACCCAGAGAAATAAAAAAGCAAATTGAAAGAGCCAGACGAATACCTAGAAACCATCTACTTCAAGACAGACCCAAGAAAACCAACAATAGAACACCACTTGTCATCACCTACAACCCCCAACTTAAACCTGTCCAACACATTATCAATAAACTACAGCCTATATTGGAACAGGATACCATACTCAAAGAGGCTCTGGGAGACAGACCCATAGTCTCCTATAGACAACCACCTAACCTCAAGATGATTCTTACCAACCACCACAGGACATACCACACTAATACCAACCCTGGTACCTTCCCTTGCAACAAACCCCGTTGCCAGCTTTGTCCACATATTCATTCTGCTGATACCATTATTGGACCTAACCAAGTGAGTTATAAGATCAAGCACACATATTCCTGCGCATCCAGAAATATAATCTATGCTATCATGTGCTGAAAGTGTCCGTCTGCTATGTACATTGGACAAACATCTCAGACACTTCGCCAAAGGATTAATGCCCACAAAACAGATATCAGACAAGATCACAAAGAGAAAACAGTTTCTTGCCATTTTAACCAGAAAGGACACTCTCTCAATGACTTAACCACCTGCATTCTGCTACAAAGACCTTTTACATCTGCACTTGAAAGGGAATCCTCTGAACTGTCATTCATGTTAAAATTCGACACTCTCCAAAGAGGATTGAACAAACACTTGAACTATCTTACACATTATCAAGATAGCTTTCCCAATTATCACCTCTAACACCATTAACTCACAAACATCCCACTCTCCCCACCTCTAATATCGTCAATTCACAGACACTTACCTTCCTTCCTTCCTTCCCCCCCTCCCTGCATCCCCCTCCTGTTCTGAAATGTGATTTATCCTTTTCATATGTGTTCATTTTTTTAAATTGTATCCTTTGGTATTTATGGTTGTGACTATTTTCTTCCACTATTTGATCTGAGGAAGTGGGTCTGGCCCACGAAAGCTCATCATCTAATAAACCATCTTGTTAGTCTTTAAAGTGCAACATAGTCCTGTATTTTGTTTCAGCTACACCAGACTAACACGGCTACATTTCTATCCCAAGACAACATGGCACCAGACTGCTGAAGTAGAAACGAAGAGCATGATTTACACTTGGGGCACTATTGAGAGGCTAGCCAGAGACAGACAGAAGTGGAGGACCTTTGTTGCTGCCCTATATGCCAATGGGCGTGAAGGATGACGACACGATAAGGGAGCTTCTCTGCAGAGCTGCCGCAGGGGTAGCTCCTGGAGCCAGCTTGAGCCAGGACCGAACAGGCCTGGCTCACGCCAGCTCTGGACCACTGCAGCTCTGCATTTTAAATGTAATAAGAGACTGGTAGCTCTTACTACATTTAAAATGCAGAGGCGCAGTGACCCCGGACCAGTACGAGCTGGGACTGCTTGGTCCCGGCTCACAGTGGGTCTAGCAGCCCCTATTCACTGTGACCTGGGCTGCTCCAGTGACCTGTGACCTGCTCCAGTTCACTGTGACCTGCAGCATCCCCTGTTCGCAGCCAGCCCCGGCGGCTGCAAATAGAGGCTGCTCCGGCAGCAGCCCTTGTTCACAGGAAGGGGGCAGAGGGAGGGGCTGCTGCTGGAACAGCCTTCACAACTGGGGGAAGAGAGAAGGGCACGTCAGGTAGCACCGTGGAGATGGTGCTGGAGGGAATCAACAGAGGCAGCAAGGGGAAGGGGAAAGCAAATAGTCGACTACTCGCTTACATCCCTCCCCTCCCCACCATCAGAACAGAGAGGGATGCGGGTCCAGAGACAAGTGAAGGCTAGTGGCCTGAAAACTAACTGGTTGTTCCTTGCTGTCACCCTGAAATAGCGATAATTGTAAAAACAGTCTCTTTAGGAGGGCATCAATAACTTTAAAAAAAGCATATAAAGTTACTCTAACAACAATGGGGATCCAGTGGATATAGTGTACTTAGATTTTCAGAAAGCCTTTCACAAGGTCCCTCACTAAAGACTGAAGCAAAGCAAGCTGTCATGGGATAAGAAGGAAGGTCCTCTCATGGATTTGTAACCTGACTACAAGATAGGAAACAAATGGAAGGAATGTATGGTTTTATGAGAAGTAATCCCATTCTGGGCACATCCCATTTTCCTGGCACAACAAAATCCTTACCTTGCTTTAAGTTATGGTAAGAGGAAGCTGTATACAGTATTTGGCAGTCCTAGCTCTTACCATTCAGGAGTTCTTGAACAGACACAAACTCTCTCAAATATACAGGCAGACTAGAAGATTCACCCAGCATTGCTTGGGTCCTTAACTTCAAATCAGTTTTGTTTTTCTTCATTTCTAGAATGCGGCTGGGGAGGATGGGTTCATTCTGTAGGCTGTGCTGGTGAGAGAGGACTACCCCAGCCCCCTCTTGCTACAGGAGCTTGGGACCAAGTGAGAAGCTCTGGGTGAGGGGCGCACGACAGACAGCGGGCACAGGGCAAAGCCGGCCCCCCCCGGGGCAGAAGGCAGCTGGCAGGATTT